AAAGTGAGCTTCACTGTTACCTGCGGGAGTTAACTGTTAGTATAGTAAGCAATTTGACTAGTGATTGTCAGGTTTTGGGTAGTACTAGCATAATGCTACATATGTTGGCTTGATGGTTTTAATACCAACTAATCAGTAAGTTTGTCTGTTACTGTTAGTAATTAAAAGTTTCACATCTGAATCACTTCACGTTTTTTTTTACATTTGGTCAATGATATTAATATGTGTCGATATGCAATACATACCATTAACTCGTTCTTCATTCCAATACTTATTCAACTTCTGCCGAAAAAGTACAGAAAATTGCTCCGCAAAAACAAAAAAATCAGGTAAGTTATTCATATAAAGGTGAATAATATCTGTTCATAATCCTATTCATAGTTGCTGCTAAAAATATAAAATCTATCTCGCCAAGTGGAGCCAAAAAGTAAAAAGGGTACGACCATATCAATCAAGAAGACAGTAAGTTGGACATTTTAATACAGATGATGGCGTGTTGCCTATGATAAAAGGTCAAAGTGTTTTTAAATATTTTTTCTCAGTCTCACACCTTGTTTATATATAACTATTATATTATTATTTTTAAAAGATATCACTCAGATACCAAAAAGAGTACTACAATACTCGAGACAATATAGAAAAGTTTAATATTGACCCGACTGAAAATCGAATCCGGGACCTCAGAGATGCTTGAAACTGGCATGCGAAAAAAATATGCCATGTCCAATATTACGCTTGAAGTTTGCATTCACATGCTATATTGATATTAAGTTTAAATAAAAATGATTATACATTTTATTTAGGACGAAAGTGTTCTGATGAAATAAGCACGATTAAATTATATGATGTAATGGTTTCATGATAAAATAGAGTTCACGAGGACTTTATATCATTGTTCACAAACCGGCCCACGTACGTCATATTGGAATTATAATGAAGTCAGGTTTTTACAACGATCTTCTCGACAAACAGTTTCTTTCGATATTAACTATTATATTGATAACTACATCAGACTACGTAATGCGTCGATTAGAAATTTTGTTAAATTTTTGAAGAAATATTGAGTCGGGCAGTTAATAAGTATTATTTATCACTTTTTTAGGTTTGAAGTCTGTTTTATTTTTTAACAAATGTTTTTTGTAGAATCTTGTTTGCTATTAAGTTATTATATACTTTATGTATATACCTTTTGTATTATTTAGTAATTTTACTCATATACTCGTAGCATTTTATTGGTGAAAGAGTTTTTTAAACCAGCCCTCCGATTCTGTAAAAACCTAAACCCGAATTTGAATCCACTTCAAAAAACGGCATCCACTCTAACGTGTATTGGTAATAACCTTTCGTGGTATAAGTGAAGTGACTTTCGAAATAAAATAAGAATAGAATATCCGAGACACGTATAATCAATCAATTTTGTTCTGTATTTGATACAAAAAAAAAAATCCATAGAATTTCTTCACATGACGTGAATTCGGATATATGAGTGAATTCGAATTCCTATTCGGATTTTTACAGAATCGCCCTGCAAGCATTCAATTTTTGTCTATGGTGTGTAATAGCTTAAGATGTTAAAATATGTTATTTTAAGATATGTTATAGCATCTAAACCGCTATTAAAAGTGTAAGAATATTTTATAGTGAAAGAATACATACGCTAGGACTTTTCCATCGTACTGCAGGAAACGCAGCAATGGATCGTCGTGGGTTTTAGCCTTCTTAGGTGGCGCCACCTTCTTCCACCGCTCCTTTTCTGTGTAAGCGTCTACAGGTAAGTCTTCGGGCTTCGATACTTCGATCCCTTGCGACTCCAACCATTCCTGCGTCAGACAGCACGTTTAAAAAACAAATATCTTTATTAAAGCTGGACATAGAATTGGGCCAGGGAAGCGACCGTCTTATTCTTTAAATTAAGTGGAAGAAAAGTCTCTCTAGCTATAGAATACGACATCTAAGCGATGTTATGACGATATTTCATTTTATTTTACTACTGTGACATGGTTTTTGATAACGACCAACGAATGGTAAAGCATGAGGATTATGGATTTGACAGCTAGATTTGATCCAAATTTATTCATCAAAAGATATATATTAAAAGTAGTAACATGAAACGAAATATCATCATAACATCGGTAAGATGTCGTATCTCGTGGATGAGCATTACTTATATGTCACTTCTTGAAGATTAAATTAGGCTATTGTATATTTATTATTATATATTTATATATGTATGTGTGTATATATTAGTATGGAAAATTTTTATTTCGACTGTATAGGACACCATTTACTACCCATCTTGTTTATGTAACTGTCCAGTCTAACTTTCGGTTGCCTGGAAGATATTGCTTTTTAGCCATAAGGCCGCCGATTGCACTGTTTATTCTTATTAATTGTTATGTTGATTTTTCTTTTCAAGTACAATAAAGTGTTCATTCATTCATTCCTATATCTAGAGTCATGGCTAAAGTATTAGACGGTCGCTCTACAGGGTTGTGCACTTTATTTTAAAGCGTCTGGAAATGAGAGAGTGAGTTATATTAGCAAACTATTTAGGACCTTAGAAATGACTAAAAGAAAAGACAATTATTGATTGATCAATAAAACGTATAATAGCTATGGCTAGAGTAATATCTAGGTAGTCGCTATGATATCTGACAGTTCTAAAAGCTTCTCATTTGTTGTGGATTTTAAACACATCAAAAAATAAAATTTCTTTTCTCGATTTCGAAAATGCACGATTCATATTATATTTTATTATTATTAACAGACTAAAATGTAAACCACAATGATTAAAAACAAATTAAAACCAGAACATTAGGTCATCCTTCGTTTTTTTATGAAAATTAATAAAAAAATAATATAAAATACAGTTATCACGGTAACAACTATGATTTTCGAGTAATGTTATTAAAATTCGCAACCTTAAACAGCTGCCTCCGTGGCGCAATCGGCTAGCGCGTTCGGCTGTTAACCGAAAGGTTGGTGGTTCGAGCCCACCCGGGGGCGTTCTTTTTGCTAACATTAAAAAAATAAAAAACATTTTAATTTGTGCTTTGCAATTTCGTTTTTACTTATCACCCGGAAGTTTGTTTGCGGAAAATGAAAACAATTTTGTCTATAAAATTTTTCTATATTATTTTTTATCGTTTTTGCAGTCACAATCCTATATTGATTGGACAAGTAACGAATATTTTAACTGATAAACAATCATATAAAATACAAACATTTTATCTTGACTCCTATCTTATCAAAAACCTTTGATAAATACTAGTTGTTATTGTTACCAGGTACCATCTTACCTGTGTATAGATACAAACGCCTTAATAATAACAAAGGCAAACTTTTCTCATAAAGCGGTTAACAGATGTTGTTGTGTAGGCAATTCATACATTAGAACTTTCAAATGTACTAACAGAATTATAACAGGATTTTTGAAAACGCTTAACATCCATAATAATCATTTCTAGCCTATTACTGGGGCCCCACTGTTGCCCTGAGCCCCACTGCTGGGGCTCAGGTCTTCCTTATAAATGGAATTGGAATGAAATTCGATTGGATGGCCCATTGGTTAGTGGTTATTATCGACGACGCGAGCCAGTATGAATTTGTGGGTATCAACGATTGCAGATGCAGCCGTGACCAATGGCTTTAGTGTGCTATCCAAAGCACGGAGAAGCTCGAGATAATAAGTTTTTTGGTCACCCATCCTATGACCAGCCATTGCGAAAGTTACTTTAGAACGGTATCACAGATCGAGTGCGCTAGCCAATGCGCCATCGAACTATATTATAGACTACTTAATAAATATTTTTGATAATTGACTAACAAATTATGAAAATAATTGTAAAATCTATTTAACACATGGCTGATATAGGTACACAAACAAAAATAATTATTTTAAAAAGATTCTAAAAAAAAACGTCAATTTTATGAACTACGCTAAACAGGAAAGCTTTTTTCCACTTCCATTTTAGGTAGCGACCGATGATGATTTTACCTAAAACCCAGAGAAAATTTCTGTTGCACAGACGGAATCTCAAAGCCTCTGGATAACGTCCAGGATAATAAATTCCGAGCAAAACGGTCCCGAATATTCGCCATTTAGGGCAGAATTATCTGTTCTCCTGTTTACGCCGAAGGGGAAAGAACGAGACAACAATATACAACGTGGATTGTTAAACATATTGGTGGATTTACAGCCATTCGATTGCATGTAATCGTGTATGTTACGCATTTTAGCTTTAGGCCCATTTTGTGGGAACATGGTTATCTATTTTATTTAACCGATCAAGACAAATATATACTTTTAAAAATTACAATAAGCTTTAGACCAGCTTATTACATTAAATGAAAACATACATTATAAAATATTGTCATGGCATCTATTGTTATTATTTAGGTCATCGATAAAAAACAGGCATTCTTAACTTTCATTTATGCAAGTTTCTATAAGACAAAGGCGTTTTTTTATATAATACTTCAATATGAATTAATCAATTCACTAGGCTTTTTGCATTTGATTTTGATTAATAACCATTCATCCTTATAGTATATTAACAAACTTGTAAAACAAATGAAGTCGAGGGTTAAAGGTAATGAACACAAAATCAATTGGCAGAAAAAAAAAATGTAAATTACATCTGAAATAATGTCAAAAATACGAAGTTAGCTTAGAAATTCAGTGACTTTCCATTTTATTATAATTATGCATTTTTTAATTTATATCCACTTTTGTCTCTTAGCAACCTAGAGCAGCGTGACAGATCCTGTCGATAATTCTTTTGTATTTGCAAGTGAAATAATTTTGGCGTTTCTTATTCCGCGTCATATATCATTCTTACCTTTAAATCTCTTACACTTTAGAAGATAGATATGTATAACTTATACACATATTTTCGATATTCAGATAAAAATTACATAATTTTACATACATCATACGGAACGAAAGAACAAGATAGCTAGATTCTGACGATGCCGCATCGCCTAATAACATGAGCTTCATTCCGCCAGAAAGTAACGGTGCGACAGGACGCGTTTCAAAAGTAAAAGTGTTTACAAAAATAGTAAATCATGGATAGTGTTTCGTTGGATAATCCGGCAGTGCGTTCCTACCTGTTTTATTCAGGCGTGTTGGGTCTAAAGGCACTGGGAATGGCTCCTTTGACTGGCATCATGCGTAATAAGAAGAAAGCTTTTGCAAACGAGGAGGACGCAGCATTTAGACAAGGCGTCGTCAACCTAAATGACCCTGACGTTGAACGAGTTCGTCGCGCCCACCATAACGATTTGGAGAACATTCCTGTGTTTTGGGCAATCGGAGCGTTGTACCTCACTACGAGACCTAGCGATGCTCTAGCGATAAATCTTTTCCGTGCATACGCAGCAGGAAGGATCATCCACACAGTTGTTTACGCGATCAAACCACTCCCACAACCGTCCAGGGCAATCGCTTTCAGTGTCCCCTTCTTCATTACCGTCTTCATGGGAGTGAAGGTCGTCTTGTACTATGCTAAGGCTTATTAGAAATTATTATTCATTTTAATGTTATGAAATACTTATGATACTAATAGATAAAATATAATTCCTAGACTGTGCGCTGTGTAATGTAAGATATTAAAGTAATTATATCTAGTGTGGTTTTTATTGATGAAGAGATAAATACAATTGTATAAAATAATATATATATGAGTCCCTATTTACCTAGGTTACGCCATCACACGCGAACGGCTGGACCGATATCGCTATTTCTTTTTTTATGTTTGCTTGTTATTATCATGATATGATTCTTATAAAAGAAAAAGTTAAGAAAACTATGTGGAAAATTTGAAATTTTAAGAATATTTGAATATATGGTTGTTATATAAAATTATTTCTAATCTAACCTTAGTGCTTTGCATAATATAAACTCTTTTAATGTAACCTTATGACGTTTGACATAGAATTGACAGAATGCGTACTGCAAATATCGTCAAATAGGGTGTAAAAAATAACTATTCTAATTCAATATTCATAATTAAGACAGGACAACGCCTGTCGGGTCAGCTAGTCGTTTAACACAAAGTTCAAGGTCTAATACTTTGAAACAGTCGGCTTATTTTATCTCGCATCATATATATGATAGAGACTTGAGAGCAGATAGTGTCATCGTTATCACGTTGATAGGAGTTTCTTTAAGTAAATATCTTGCATTATCAAATCAGATTATTATATTAAAGTCGATGACTCGGTGTACTTCGTATCTACTCTCACCGTTTAAACCTGGAATAAGAGAAACATTTCAAAACCTCAGCTAAATCAGCCCAGCCGTTCTCGAGTTTAAGCGAGACAAACGAACAGCAATTGATTTTTATATTTATAGAAAATTAGAGAGAAAATAAAAAGTATATCGTTTACTTAAAAAAAGAAACTATTTGTTCGAATAAATAAACCAGACATATTTTAAAAATCTTAAAAAAACTATAATTATCTCATTAGTAAATATTTTTATTTCCATTCAATTTTTTACGACATCAATTTATAGTACCTACTAATTATAAATACTAACCCAGTGTATTCAATATCTATAACACAAGTATTCTCGTAATTTTCTGTGACAAAATGGATTCCTTATATGGACAACACTACGTGTGTTGCCGACCATGAAAGAATATTTTGTTACAAACTAATGTAACTCCATCAAATAGATATTTACGCATTTACAAATTTTATTTATTTATCAATTGTAAACGATTTTGTTTTAGTTTGGAGTCTTACTTTACAAACACAAACACGTTAATATACATTTAACGGTTGGCAACACTTGAAGGCTATATTATTTACTGTAAACTCGCTGAAGTATTATTTGCATACCGAACGTATACTTCAGTAAATAGTTTGGATCATTTCATTTAAAAATGGATCGTGATTTTTTCCACAGTCCGGTGGTTCAGTCGTATCTCTTTTACTCCGGCGTACTTGGTCTGAAAATGTTGGGAACAGCTCTGTTGACATCGAAGGCGAGGTATACGAGGAAAGTGTTCGCAAACGAAGAGGACGCCATATTCTCCGATGGTGTAGTGAAGGTTAACGACCCCGAAGTGGAACGGGTACGACGAGCTCATTTAAACGATTTGGAGAACATACCGGTTTTTTGGGTTCTTGGAGCGATATACGCTACCACTAATCCGAGTGTTAGCGTGGCCTTGACTTTGTTTAGAACCTTCACAGTTATGAGGTTCATTCACACATTCGTGTATGCAGTGAAACCTTTTCCGCAACCAACAAGAGGTATCGTCTTCACTATTCCATTCCTCATAACTGCTTTTATGGGGTTAAACATAATCATATATTATGCCAAGGCTTTTTGACTTTAAAACATAAAAACCTTCAAATTTCGAGTTGTAGAAGCTATGAGCTTGAGCAAGCACATTTATCGAAATAATGACTACAAGAATACACATATAAGAAACCGATTAGAAAACGAGATAATTCTTGTGACCTGTGAATAAGAGAGATAGAAGATGAGAAATTTAATGAAATGAGCCTAATTTTTTAAATTAATTTCTCACAAACTATTACGATATCGGCCATGTCAGGCCCTAGATAAGAATTTACTTATTTATTATTGAAGTTTTACTTTAGATATAATATGATCACGAGACGAATTAAAATATAAATACAAAAATATTATTTTAATTGCGACTTTAATTTTTGAGATAACCACTACAATAATTTCTACAATTCGGATTGTAGATATGTTTAAAAAACATTAATTACAACTTATTTAATTTTTTTTTCTATATAAAATTTCAGTATTTACCCTTAAAGATTATTTCATAACACATTTATTTATAATTTAAAGTTTTTAATGCTTTTGTATTCAAATATTAGGTTTTATTAATAATTCAGTATAATAGGTATGTCATTCATTATCAATACCTATAATGATATACAAAAACTAAAAATATACCCAGACTCTCATATAATCATGACTTGCATTTCATAATCATATAATATATAATACCATTACCTCATAATATTGTAACGTCATTTACAACAGTGGTATTAGTTATCATAGTTTTGAACCTTAACACAGTAAAGTTAAGGATTAAAAATCGAAGTTATAATTTAAGTTTTGCTTCACGAATTATAGCTAACTTCAGAGCTGTTCTAATATAAGGTCGAGAGGACATCGTACGTACATATTTGTTTGGTTACTAGGCTCTGTTGTTTATCATTACGACATATCTTCAGCTCAGATCATATAAGGTTACATAAAAACGACAGTGGATAGTGATCTTATAATAACTGACGTCTAAATAATCAACTCAGTACTAAACGCAGCTTAAAGAGTGAATACTACAAAATACCACGGCATCCATTAATGTTGAAAGTACAGAATCAATGTGCATTTTTTTTTATAAATTATAATAAGCCATTGACTCGAGTGAGATAGCATATAAACTCAATGACTGGCGAGTCGAATAACGGAACGTTGGTTATTATATCACCTCACATCACACATCGTCTATAGACAGCGTCCGGCTAACACATCAGTTGTTATTCCCCCATCGTTATCAAACAAGACAACACGTGAACCTATAAATCTGTTATTAAAATAGCCACAGGTGCACAATGGAGAGCATTTCATTGAAGGATCCGTTAGTACAATCTTACATATATTATTCGGCTGTTCTAGCAGTCAAGTTGCTGGTGGTAACCGTTTTAACAGTACGAATGCGTTTCAAGAAAAAAGTGTTCGCAAACGAAGAGGACGCGAAGACGACCAAGAACAGTAAAGTGAAATACGACGATCCCGACGTGGAGAGAGTGCGTCGTGCCCATTTGAATGACCTTGAGAATATACCGGCGTTTTGGATACTCGCCGCGCTGTACTTGACCACGGCACCGGCTGTAGCGTGGGCTAAACTACTTTTCCGCGTCTTCACATTCGGAAGGATCATCCACACTGTCGTGTATGCTGTAATACCATTACCACAACCGGCAAGAGGTATAGCATTCGGCATACCTTATCTGGTAAACATGTATATGGGTGTTCAAGTGATTATGCATTATGTATCTGCTATGTAATATTGGCTGGGACTTTTTTTATTGCCTCAACTAATAAATATTTATATCTGTGAAAACTCGTTTATTTTAATTAAAGTCTAGTAAACCATTATCTGATAATATATTTAAGTATGCAATACAAAGGTCAAGGATAATGTCGTGATTTATCTACTAAGTAGATATTAGCGTGTCATCGTTGATTACCTATTCAATAAAAATTTGTTGATAGAAGGTAAGTTTTACTTAAATTTGAAAATAATCATATTTAGATAAAATATTTTAAATTTCTTTCATTTTATATTATTTACTTCTATGTTAAGTCATTGATCTAAAAATAACTATGCGTAAATAAAATTACATTTATTACGTATCGTTACCTCAAAAACTAATATCCATTATCACCATTTTCCAGGTCGGTCTTTCACAATGCAAATATAGGTTAATTATAGCCCGTTCACCTGTTTTACGTGCGGTTAATGGAATAGTCGTGTCTCAATAACGTCTGATAATGTCAAAGTAATTGAGTGTAAAGACTATAAAGGATTCTATCTGTTTATAGGTGGACGGCGGTTGGTTTGACTCGTTAGTGTTGTAAACAAACGAGAGTAGTAACATAATTATTTTACTAAACCAGCTTTTTTAAAATAAACTCGATGGATCTTGGACCAGAGAAATCGAGTCAAAATCCGAGAGGGTCGCGTTATTTAATTACGAAGTTTCCATGCCCAGCTTTCAGTTCCATAATTAGAGTCTAATATTAGCTCGAATCTTGACAAGACAAAAGCCTGATACAAATACGAGAAAAACGGAAAGATTTCGATATAAGCCTGGAATATTTTTAATCGAGTTTGTGAGCCAATTACAAGAGACTATATTTAAGAATCCATCTCATTTTAGCTACGGAAGGTATAAAAAAAACACCAAGTCAAAAAACGTAAATTTCCTTCACGCAAAATTATTATCACGACTTTTTTCACAAATTTTGGTTTTATTTTTCATAGCGATAATGAAAATTACTGAAATCCAACTAAAAAATTTTCATTGGATTAAAAACAAACGCAATATAATAATATCGATTGAAGTCGTATTTCATTGTTAATATTATTGATTTTTTACAAATATTTTTAAAACATTTATTGTCCGTGTTATATAAAAATATGAGTTTCCAAATATAATATTAGGAAGATTTATGTATATCATGGAAGTAACATAAGTAACAGCGTGAAAATACGTAGAAGTCACTTTATATGTATTTTGCTTATCATGCCATTGAGAAATTAAAGGAATTTTATTTTTTTACTAATAATCCGAAGGAAAATGTCGTTGGATTAATTCATATATTAAAAAGGAAATATATGATACCCTCATAATGAAAAAAAACAGCTGAAAGTTGGTATTTGTATCAGGCTAAAACCAAATGAGCACTAATTCAACGTAAGCAGCCCCGCCACATTTGGGTACGGAACAATAAAAAACATTTAAGTTACAAATGTTAATATTTGCAAATCCTTTAATTTAGAAAAACAGATCAAAAACATACATGGTATCAAACAAATTCGCTTCCTGCTGTCTGTACGGTACATAACGGATTTCAATGTGTGATTTCCTCTTACAAGCTTTCACATCACTAGCGACAGTATACAAGTGCTATAAACACATTTCTTAAAGCCATACGACCTTTCGGCTTTATTCTAAAACCCATTCGGGGGTTTACTGCGACCGTTCGTTTCATATTATTGCTCTGTTATTGCAAGAAGCGCCTTTTGAATTCTAACTTTGTTGATTATTGTTTCGATATTTCATGATTTTCTACTCTTTATATTATGATCATATACTCATTCAAACCATGATTTTTTTGTTTTTTTATAAAAACTCATTCATGCCGTGATTGTTTGATTGTTTAAAGAGCCAACTCAAATAAATTTCGGAACATTTCTATTACCTGGTATTCATAAAAAAATGGCAAATGTAGTTTTCAAACAAAACAAAAGAGTTCAGAGAGTAATATAACAATATGAATTTTTAATATTTTTGTCTTATTTGCGTTAGTTGACATAAAAATATAAACCTTAAATGAAATAGAAACACCTAAGTAATTCTATTATATCTACTTATAAGTGTAAATTTGTAAGTAGAGTAAGTTACTATCTATCTATTTTAATAGTGATCATTAATATAGATAATAAATGAAATGTATGAGAACGGTATTTGGTCAAACTGAATTTTTATTAGTTATTTTAATAGTATTTTTAGTTATCAATTATATTGGCTTGCACAAAGTACCGAGATAATTTTATAAGTAACGATTAGATACACAACATATGTTTCCTTGTAGAAGACAGTATTTCATATTCTTAATATATAAAAAAGCAAAGTAGACAAGTTTTGGTAAAAAGTACTATTATGAATAGATATTTTACGCAAAGGAGCTCTACATTCAGGTGAGGCAAATATTTTCAATATGTCAACGCCACCTGTTGTCGACTGACGAAGATGAAGATGTAGGGCGCCTTGTCATAGAAATTCAGTTTAAAAACATGGCATGGTATGTCACAAATTTCTACCTTATTTAACTGTTAAATTATGAATGTTATATTGGTATGTCTGTTCATGCAATTAGAATTTAAATTCCACTAAAAGATCCTTTTTATTTATATATCATAACAAGAACTACTAGAGGCATTATTTTCGAAATTCGTACTATGAAGTTATTCCTAGCCACTTCGCTATCTTGGACTTCATATTAATAATCCATAGGTAACATAATAAGTCAATAAAATATTCTCAATTACTACACAATTCTACGATTACACTGTATTATAAATCTTTAACATTCATTCAACCATTATTAATTTAGAAAAAAAAATAGAACGTCATATTACTATTACTGTTTGAGTAGGTTAGATTCATGAGACCATGTTTTTAAAATTGCCACTTGAAAGCAAAGGTCGCCTAAAAATGTAAACACGCACCGAACATTATCAATAAAGCCGAATGGTGGCAGTGACAGCTGACAGCTGCTGTGTGTGTGCGATTGTGACGAACGAGACGACGATTTTAACCGGCTTGTAAACAATTTAATACATAAATCCATCATCCAGTGTTCAAAGGTAGGGCATTTTTATAATTCTATAATTATCATTTAGCAAAATTTTTATTACTGCTTATAAATCTGCAAGAAGTAACATTATTATTAAACAGTTTATAGGTTATGTAGACATAACAAAACAACGCGAGTTTCTTGCTGTGATTGAAAAGAGATGGAAACAACAAAACAGCTTAATGAACAGTTTGATGAATTAATCGTTAATGATTACTATACTATTAGGCATATTTGATTACTGCCATTGGTTTTCTAAAGTATAAGATTTATTCAAGTTTGATAAAAATTACTAATATTTTACAGTGTAACGTCTCAGATAGTCAGGTTGTCAATCAAACACACTTTTAGTATTCCCTGTGGATATAGGGTATGCCAAACACAGAACACGTGCGCACTCGGCGGCGGCCGGTATGTGACTGCATTGCACACGCCTGCGCATACACTACATCCCTTCTTTATTTTAATTCATTTTAAATGTTTCAAAATCACAATTAAAGTTAATCTAACGAATTATTCTAACTAAATTATTTTTATAACATGATAGGTAATCTATTTTATTATTATTTTTTTTTTATTTTTTTACAAATAGATTTGTGTAATAATATGTGATAATTACATTACATAGAGAACAATACGAATGCAACAATATATCAATACATATATCAATCAACAAAGACTTTACGTTAGTTTATCATTTCCTCCTAAATCGGTACTATTAGCATTTTGATTAACCACAGTCCATGAATCATTTACTTTCTTTAAATGAACTACGTTTCGGCGATATTCCTTTCCAGTTTCATCATTTCTAATACTCACATCGCCACCGCTCACGTCCGTTACTGTATGCGTAGTGGGGTTGAAATTGGAGGTCAGCTTATTATCTTTGATTACATTTTTCACGACTACTTTTTCTCCTATTTCCAGGTTGCTGTCTGTAGCTTTCCTCTTGAGATCTCCATATACTTTCCCTCTTTCTTTCATTTGCAGATCTCTGTCTCTTACTTCTTCATCTATTGTTTTATATTCCATGTCAGGTGCTGCCGGGATCTTGTCTCTAAACTGTCGTCTATAAAATAATTCCGATGGAGATTTACCTGTTACAGAATGAGGAGTACTATTATACATCATTAAATAATTAAAGATGTCCTCTTTCCAGTCCTTATTTTCAGTTTGGCAAATTTTAAGGCGTTTTAAGATGTCTCGATTTTGCCTCTCCACTTCACCATTCATTTGAGGCCAATACGGGACTGTATTAAATAAAGTGATTCCACATTCCTTACAATATTTCTGGAAAACCTCGCTCGTAAACTGATTTCCATTATCACACGTCAATGTTGCTGGATAACCTAATCTGGAAAATATTTCTTTCAAGACCTTTATCGTATCAAGGGAAGTGATACTGCGCATTACTTTAATTTCTTTATATCTACTATAGTAGTCAACAAGAATGAACAGATAGTCACGACTAGGAAGAGGCCCCAAGAAGTCCATCGCTACATCAACCCAGGGTTCAGCGGGAAGTGCTCGCCTCTTCATCGGATGTGGCGGAGTAGGATTAGATACCAATGTACACCCTCGACAAGTTTTTACTAGACGTTCAGAATCTTTGTCAATCCTAGGCCACCACACCTTTGTTCTAAGACGAGCCTTCATCGCAACTATACCCGGATGGCCTTCATGGGCCGCCTCCAGTACTCGTTGACGCAGATTATGGGGTATTACCAGCCTAGCTCCCCTAAGAAGTATATTTCCGTTGAAACAGAGTTCATTTTGTATGATTTTAAAATTGCTGATAGAATCATGCCAGTCATTATTAAAAATACCATTTTGAACTTTTAAAATTTCCTCGTCTTCAGCAGAACGCCTTTCGATTTCATTTAATGGAACCGCGATAGGCCTACTATAATTCACAATTTCGTTAATATAATTTTCAGAGTCAAATGGTTCTGAAAAAGAAGATCTGGCAAGTCTGGAAATTGTGTCAGCTATGTTTGATTTACCTGGACGGTAGATGACTTTGTACCTATAAGCTTGTAATCTAAGTACCCATCGTTCTACTCTTGCGCATGGTTTAGAGGTTCGACCAAAAATGATTTCCAATGGTTTGTGATCGCTTATTAATTCAAAATCTTTGCCGAACAGATATATTTTAAAATGCTCCACTGCCCAAACGAGCGCTAAAGCTTCTTTTTCTGTTTGACAATATCTTTTTTCACAATCTGTAAGAGCCTTATGCCCAAAAGCAATCACACGGGGGCCATCTTTACCTATTTGCACTAAAACTGCGCCTAACCCTACAGGAGAAGCATCAGCGATAACCTGGGTTTTATCTGAAGGATTATAATAGCCTAAAGTTTGAATATTGGATAAGCTTTTCTTTAGAGCCTCAAATGCCTCATCCTGTTTGGGCGTCCAAAATTTCTGAATATTTGCTGATTTTCCAAGACCTAACCGTAGCAGTTCCCGCAAAGGTTCAGTAAGGGTAGCAAAATTGGGAATCCATTTACTTACAAAATTAACCAACCCCAGAAAACTTTGAATTTCTTCAGTTGTATTAGGTATTCTACTAGTTTTTATTACTGCCAAATATTTTTCTAGTGGTCTTACTCCACTGGCAGAAAGTTCGTGACCAAGAAATTCAATTTTTTGTGTTTTATAAACGCATTTGTTTTCATTTAATAGAACGTTATTTTCCTTTAAGACGCGTAACACCTTACTTAACCTTTCGTCATGTTCATTTTCGGTGGCGCCATGTACTATAATGTCATCGATAAAGTTGCATGTCCCTTCACAGCCTAACAGTACCTTTTCTAAAATTTTTTGGAACATCTCTGGTGCGCAAGAAATTCCAAACATTAATCTTTTATATCTATACAACCCTTTGCTAGTACTGAACGTAGTTATGTACCTACAATCCTTATGAATTTCGAGTTGATGAAAGGCATTTTTGATATCGAGTTTGGAAAAGTATTTGGCTTCGCGAAAATTAGGTAGTAATTCATTCATTGTCGGGAGAGGGTGATTTTCTCTTATAATTGCTTCATTAGCCCTCCTCATATCTAAGCAAATACGTACCTCTTCCTGTCCTTCTTTAAGAACGGGAACCATTGGTGATACCCATGGTGAAGGTTCATTTACCTCCTCGATGATATCGGCATCCTTTAGTTCCTTTAATTTTCTGACAACCTTTTCTTCTAGAGGAATGGGAACTCTTCTGTATGGTTGGATGACTGTTTTGACCGTTGGATCTATTGGAATCTGTACAATTACTCCTTTGAACTTAGGAAACGTTTTCTCTAATGATACCTCCGAATTTACTGCATTAATTTGAAGTCCAATTTTAAGCACACCTAATTGAATCGCAGTCTCTTTGCCTAATAAGTCGCGTGTGCCGTTTTTGATGACATATACAGTGCTTTTTACTTTCTTACTACCAATAACTGAAATATTAGCGTCAAAGGAGCCCATGATGTCCAAAGGTTTATTACTGCCATAAGCAATAAGTGTCTTATCAGGATTCTTTATCTGGTTAGTAATTTCCACCTTATTATCTTTTAGATGTTGCCATGTTCTGTCAGTAATAACATCGCATTTACTTCCTGAATCTATCAACATGTCAACAGTCACTCCCCCAATATTGCATTGTATAGTTTCTTCTTCATCCAAGTGGAAAATATACTCTATTTGGGACTTCTCAGTCTTTTCGTTTTCTACTCCATCAGTCTCACCTTTTGTACTTTCTTTTTCTTCCAGGTTGAAAATGTAGTCAATTTCAGATTTATCGGCATTCTTCTTTGTTTGTAGTTTTGGTTTTTTATTTATAGTCTCTGTCCTGTTGTTCGGGAATGGTCTTTTCTGTCGAGTCCTACAATGCTCCCGGAAATGACCGATGAAACCGCATTTCAAACATCGTTTGTCTTTAGCCGGGCATTTAATGTCATCTGATAAATGAGAGAAGCTTCCACATCTACTGCATTTTGAGTTCGATGACTGTTGTCGAAAAGGTTTGTTGTATTTGTTCTTGTTATCTATTTTATTAATTTCCGCTTTGTTGAAATTGTTCGTAGTATTTGTGTTTGTCGATTTAAATTGTTCTAATTGCCTGGTCACAACTTCTAATGCATTTGCTTTACTTGTAATTTCATCTAAAGTAACCATGTCTCCGCATTCTAAAATTTTTTTTCTCAATTCGACTAATCGACACTTTTCAGTAATTTGGTCAATAATGTGCTCCTCTTTATTATGAAATTGACATTTTTCGGCTTGATGCCTTAGCCTTAGTAAAAAACGTTCAAATTGCTCTCCTTCCTCTTGTTTCATAAGACGGAAAAGATACCTTTCATAAATTCGACTTTGCTTCGGACTAAAGTAACTGTCTAATTTCTTCAAAGCTATTTCATAGACGTCGATACCTTCCTCTGCATCAGCATGAGCTCCAGGAAGATTATAGTAAACTTCCTGAAGTGCTATTCCCCCAACATGGAGAAGAGTAGCTCGTTTTTGTACGGGTGTGTCGATGTTAGTAGCCAATAAGTAAATTTCAAGTGCCCTTTTCCAATTCACCCAGCGAGTGCCAACAGATGTCGGATCACCTTCACAATCGAAATGGTCTAAGTTCGGGAGTGTTGATGACGCATGAGTCATTTTGGGGCGACCTGCAATAAAATATTGACTCTTATTTTTGCATGGCTTTTACTGAAAATCAGTAACAGTATTACAACTGCGTAGCCCTATTAAATTTATACAAGTCATTTTTTTCCTAGACCAATTGTATTTTTATAATCTATGTATGTACATACGATCCATAGAATCTTTTCGTGATCAAACTGCGTGGCCCTTGGTTATATACTCATTGCATGGCCTTTAAATAGATGTAATATTGTGCAGGTATAATTAGGTACCAACCAAATATAAATCAAATATAGTAATGTATATAGCTGTTTCTCGTTAATAATATTAATTATAAGAATAACGTTTCTCTTTAATAATATTAATTATAAAATTGTG